GAGAAACAGGAACAATGGACTCCCAAAGTAAGCCATGCCTGTCATACTCTCAGAGCTTCATGCTTATATCATCAAAATCCCGGCTAGTGGGATGTGCCAAACAGAAAAGAAGGGAAGAGGGAATGGGCCATCAGCTCCTGAACTCATCCTAGTGGTCTCAGGGTCCACAGTCCGCCTGGATCCCTAATGCTCACGGCTGGCTCCCAACAGAGGGTGGTGAAGAATCTCTGGCACCATGTCTGGTCTGTCCGGCCTACCATCCTGGCGTGGCCCTTGCCCGTTGGCGTGGCTGCTTTTATTCCTGTTTGGCCCCAACTTGGTCCTTGCTATCTCCTTCGATCTGCCGGTTAACTCCTGCAAGTGCCTCCGCGAGGAGATTCACAAGGACCTGCTGGTGACAGGCGCTTACGAGATCTCCAACCAGTCCGGGGGTGCTGGCGGCCTGCGCAGCCACCTCAAGATCAGATTCTGCTGGCCATGTTCCCTATTCCAAGGAAGATGCAACCAAGGGGAAATTTGCCTTTACCATTGAAGATTATGACATGTTTGAAGCGTGTTTTGAGAGTAAGGGAGCAGGGCGGATACCTGACCAACTCGTGATCCTAGCCATGAAGCATGGAGTGGAGGCGAAAAGTTACGAAGAGATTACAAAAGTCGAGAAGCTCAAACCACTGGAGGTGCAGCTACACCGCCTAGAAAAACTTTCAGAGTCAATTGTGAATGATTTTGCCTACATGAAGAAGAGAGAGGAGGAAATGTGCGATGCCAACGAATCAACAAACACCCAGGTCCTATACTTCAGCATCTTTTCAATATTCTGCCTCATCGGACTAGCCACCTGGCAAGTCTTCTACTTGTGTGGCTTCTTCAAGGCCAAGAAGTTGATTGAGTAATGAGAGAGGTGCGCTTTCCTCCCACCTTGTATCTCAGCCAGCAGGACATCGCTGGGACAGGCCTGGCCTAAGGCATCCTGCCAACAGCACCATCAAGGTAGGTTGGAGCTTTCTTGCCAGAACTGATCTCTTTTGGTGTGGGAGGACGAGGGGTACCACCTACAGCCAACACATCAAAGAGGGACTTCTTTTTAACTTCGTAGGATTTGGACTGGTTTTGCAACAACAGGGACTATTATTAGAGTCACCTATGACCAAAAAAAACGGGTTACCCAGGTAATGTCAGAGCCAACATTTGTACTGGGTTTCCTCATATGATCTGTTAGAACCATGCTTCTTTCCTTCTCCCATTTGCTCCCCAGCTTGGGTTTCCGCTCCTTTTCTTTTACCAAGAGTTGTGTGACCATGTTGAGCTGGTTTTATTCTGATTGTCCTCTTTGGGTTTCCTTGTGAAAACACCCTTCACTTTCTCTTGGCCTTTAGTTGACATGTTTACGTAGCTTCTGGTGATATCTTTTTATAAGTTTATGTCTCTTAGAAGGATGATAGATGTGATGCCTCACAAAAGGGAGCTTTGACCTGCAGATAACGCCTCCCGGCATCCAGCTCCCCAGCCCACAGAGCCTCCCATGTCCGTGAGGCTCGCAGCTGAGGCAGCCAGCTCCCCAGAAGGCCTCTTGCCAGTCCCATCCCACCGCCGGAGCCACCGTTGCAGCTCTTCGTGCGACAGAGGCCACTGAGGCGGATTTTGAAGGAGCCCTTCTAAGGGCCCGTGAGCGGCCGGAGGGGCCCCGGAGGAGGCGGGGGCGGGGGAGGTTGCTGCTGCTGCTCGCCTCTACTCAGGCGCCCCGGGGGGACCAAGTCTTGCAAGGGGAAGGGCATGGGGGTAGCGCGGGGCACGGGGGCTGCAGTAGCAGCCGGCCGCCGCCTCCTCCTCCGCGACCCGGGCTGCTGAGCTCCTCTTCCGAGCAGCTGTTAGAGCAGCTGGAAGAGCAGCTGCTGGAAGAGCAGCTCCTCTTCGAGGCTCTCGGCCTCGGATTCCAAGCCCTCCAGGACCAGCAGCGCCTCGCTCGTTTGCGTGGGGTCCTCCCCGGCCTGCGGGATGGCTGCGGGGGGCACGGGCAGCACCCCCCCAACAACCGCTTTGACCCCCGGCCCCGCCAGCTGCGCCTCCAGTCCCG